CTCTCTATATTATCAAATGCTTTAGAGAAATCCACGAAGGCGCAGTATAATTTTCCCCGTTTTTTGGTTATATATTTTTGAACAATTGCCTGAAGGATAAATATGTTGTCAGTTGTTGAGTATCCATGATAAAACCCACCGTTCTTCGTTTATTTTCCCCAAAGCATCTGCCCAAAAGTTTAAACGTACATTAAGAATTGACGTAAAAATTTTCCCAAAAATATCAAGTAGTGAAATTGCCCTATAGCTCTCTGGATCAACCCTCGACCCCTTTTTATATATAGGTATAATGATTGCATTTGACCAGTCAGTTCGTATTTCGCCAGAATCAAAGATCTTATTGAACAAGACGTGTAGATATGGCAATAGTATATTTACAGAAGATTTAAAATACTCGCCAGGCAATCCATCAGGTCCTGGTGATTTATCATTCTTGAGCCATTTGATGCTCTCAATTATTTCTCTTTCAGTAATTGGACCATTCAATATGTCCCAGTCAATTTCATTTGCATAACTATATTCATTCACAGACTCTAAGTAACTTAACAGTTTGCTCTGAGAGACGAATTCATTACTTATAGGTGCACAAGAAAAGAGTTTTTGAAAGTAGTCATGCCATTGGTTTGCTTGTATGGCAGGTGGGATATTATTACTGATTGTACTATTGCGTCTAATTGTTGACCAAAACAGCTTAGAAGCTTAGAATAATTAGAATCACTAATATACTAACAGAACTTATATATGTTTGTAGTAATTAGTTAAAGCATAGACCCTCTAACAGAGGTTAGAGGGTCTATGGTTAAAGATTCAATTTAATAGGTATTTTTCGATTAAGATACGACGTATTTAAATTATATTTTCAGTTCGGGCAATTACAAATTAAGGAAGGAGGAATGTAATATATTAAGAATGACAATTGTGCTAGGGAGTCTGTAGTTTTTGATAGCATGGGGCAGTCGGGAATAAAGCTTGGACGTGGCCACACGTGTTGCAACAGTGTCTGTCTTTATTGACTCACAAACATTACAAATGGCTTCCTCGCGTGTCACTCCATGACCTAGTTTCAACCACAGCTATGTTGCATCGAAGTGCGTGACCTTGACCCCACGGACTATATTATCGTGCTGTTTAAACGGTGGTGGTCGTCGCAGCGCATAGACGTTCATTGTCATCTATAGTGCATAGGCTAATATATTGCCTTATCGGGTATCAAACCGTGACCTCAACTGATAAAAATGGATGTTGGGAAACCACAACCGGAGAACGGACGTAAGCTAAAATTGTCAGCTATCAATGTACCTCCTGATGGCGGATGGGGATTGGTTGTGGTTGCTGCAGCACATGTGTCACTTCTACTCAGCATTGGAAGCCTCACGGCATTTGGACCTTTTATCAACAAACTCAAAGACTACTTTGACGATACTACTAGTTCAGTTGCAGGTATAAGCGGAACGGCTATATTTGTCACGTATGCTATTGGTAAGAACACTTAATTTTTGGAGGGGGTACTAAAAAAGTAGGCATAATTCCAGAAGACGTACCTACGAACGAATTGGTGACGTAACAAAATACATGACCTTCAATCGGGGCCGTTTATATATACAAATTGGTATATACAAAATGCAGTAAAGATACTTAAAACATTACCAATAAGGTGGAACAAATCACGTGACTAGCTTAAATGATTATATACTAGTATTCACTCGGGTCACGCACTTCGTTGCAACATGGCCATGAGGTTGAAAGTAGGTCATGGCGTGACACGAGAGAAAGACATCATTAAACACTTACAAAATCAAAATAAAGTGAGTAAACTTGAGTGTGGCTTTACGTACGGCGACGTGAACAGGAACAGGAAGTTCATTATGGGCTAGTGCCATTGTCAAATTTCGGAGAGTAGAAGACCTTTTATACAGGAGACGAGACTGTTTTGTATGCTAAATCTTTTAGAACAAGTTTGGATGATCTTCCGCGTTGTGGTAATTTCGCGTCGGACCAATTTTAAAATTGCCACGGCTGGCCAGTCTCACCGGAGACGTTCTAGTAAGGAATTGTTCGATCAACATCCTTTATTTTACGAAACATTTTCTATTTTCACCAAAATAACAACGTTGCTATGTTTCTGGGCATACAACGACATTTAAACAAAAGAAATCGTTCGATCCTAATGATCTGCGTCCTTAGAAATCAAGTTTTACCGCCTTTGTGTTTGTGCGAAGTCAAAAAACAAACAATTTTCGCCCAATCGTCCCAGCGGTTAGATGAGATATTGTTATTTAGGGGCGCACGGAGAACCAAAATTTCGTACGTGAATCACTTCGGCGACGAAAAATCCGTGATAATAGCGAAGGAGGTGCGAGACTATTTACTTCGGCGATAGCTACAGTAATTGCGACCCAATCGATATAGGCAAGATTTCAGGAAACTCAGTGACCAGTGAGGCCCAAAAACGACACAAACCTTTAATAATTTTAATGAAGGACATTAATGTAGAGATGCAGGTTGGGAGACTATATTTCTAATTGGCTCTAATTACTGTAATTACACGAGTAAAATATAACTTTTACCCATCAAGTTATATATCATTTGAAAGAGTTATATTTAAACTTTCGAGTTTTATGGTTTATAATAATGTACTATGATACCATATTAAGTGGTGTTGATTTTGGGTTAAAATCATGCATTTTAGGTGAAAGTGCACTTAAAACTATTTAACTTTTGAATGCATACCCTGATTTTAATTTAAAAACACTAGGAACATAATGGCTTATTTATTAGTGTTTCCATTGACAAGTTTTTACACTGTGCTCTTTGACACAATCACGTTTTATAAATCGTTCACAGTTAACAGAGCCGCTAATTGGCAGCTCTATTGTTTCTGTTCCAGTGAAGACAGTGAAACCATACCGGTGCATGCAAGCTGACAAGGGGGTTTCCGATTAAGGTAACCAGGATGGCATCGCAGAGTGCATGATTTTACCGCGGTGTTTAAAAACAGCATCTCATTGCCGATTTTTTGGTAATTTCCAGTTTTTTTTTTTTATTTATTTTTAATTAGCCATCATTTTATGTTTGTGTATTTTGACACTGAAAAGTTAGTTATCGATGACACCAACAGCTGTGTTGTTTGTCAATTGCATGACAATTCTATCAGCACGATAATCGTTACAACGAAACGAAAAATGTTTACTTCAGTGTTAAAATGCCGTTGGAGTAAAAATGTGTGGAAACATTTTTTAGTTTCGCCCACAATGCGAAAAAGCTTGAAATCTATGCACCAAGAAAACAAAAGAAATTGTGGCCTTGTTTTGCGCGAAAATTAAATCGCCCTATCGACGCTACCTCCTACATGAAAATAAATGAAAAATCGATTTATTTAAGGGTGAAAAAGTTTACTTATCAGTTACAAGTGTATGTTTTCTTTCATTCCGCTTGCATGCTTGGAAGCGTCTACGATTTGTCTGTTTTTGTAGTTTGCTAGTTGATCGCGCTTGGGGTAAGTAAACAGAGAGCCAGGACAGGAAGTCGCACACCGGCTGCTCCGTAACTGAGGCCAGCAATCATTTGCATATAACATCAACAGTGACTTGTCAATCAAAAAACAACGCAAACAAACTTTCGGGAATTTTAATCACATACGCGTGCCTAGGTTTCCTATATTTAACATTGATTTTTGAGTATGTTCCAACAATGACAATGCCCACGAACCAGCATCTCTACCTTAATTCAGTTTTATTACGGACTCCAGAAGAACAAGTATTCGTGGTGTACTAGTAATTAACTCTGGTGAGAGAATAGTCATGGATAAATAAACATGGCAACAACAATGCAACATTTTATTTCCCGTCTTTGCTAGTTTTCGAGCCCATAGGGTTTTATAAAACTCATGCTATTGAACTCGTTTGCATTTTTTACCTATCTATATAATGATTTTGTTGAAGTAGGTATAAGGTAGTAATTAAAACCGAAAAACACTGCTTTTATGGCGAATAATGCATTTTTCTGTTCAAATTTAACCTGAATAAGCCTTTTTATAGATTTTTTGTAATCTGACACATGAGTTGCTTCTGAAAAAGTTGACTTGTCTATAGTGAATTATCGAGAATGCTGACTGTTAATTTGTGCAATTTGTACCCGTTTTTCAGCACATGCTATTTCTTCCCAGGCCCCCACCCTCCAAGAGTTTGAATGAAAGATGTGCTGTGTGGTTAATATTGCTCTTTCAGGAAACAATCTGTATGCGTTAATATTGTATAACCATTAGGTAATTTATTACAGATTACCGTATTTAGTGGAACTATTAGCTAGCTTTTATTTCCGCTTTGCTAAATTCAAATTTAACAATATTTTTTCTTTTACAAATATCCCTGCAACTTCAAATCCGCTGAAATCTAAACCTAAGATAACAATAAATTATTCTTATCTGAGACTAAACCCAATGAACATTTCTCCTACAGTAACAATTTTAGCATATTCATATTTTCCTTTAGTTATTATGAAAAGTCTGATTCACTTTGACCCTGTGCAGTCAACCAATCAGTTAACATCACGGCATTTTACTTCTATCTGCAGGACCAATAGCTAGTGCCCTCAACAATAAAATAGGTTGTCGTCTTGTTGTATTTATTGGTGGCTTGGTCGCATCTATTGGATTAGTCCTCAGCTTCCTGGCAACAACAACTATTCATCTGTATTTCACATATGGAATTATTTCAGGTAAGTAAAATGTGGCCAGGTTCTGCATAACTAATACAGTATACTAGTTAATTCATCTGTATTTGGCTTATGAGATTATTTTGCAAAGGTAACATATGATTAGGTCCAGTAAAACTAATACAGCATATCTTTTAATAAAAGTTTATTTGACATACAATTATTTCAGGTATGCAATTATGGTTAGGTTCCACATAACTAATACAGTATACTAGTTAATTCGTTTTTATTTGACACATGGAATTATTTTGGAAAGGTAACATGTGACCAGATCCTATATAACTAATACAGCGTATGTTTTAATGCATCTTTATTTGACCAAATACATTAGACATTTCCATAGTCTTTGATTTGACATATAAATAGAAATAGGTCCCAATATTTACTTGTTAAGGTCACCGATCAAACTGAAATTATAGTATCTATGTGCATAAGAACAGAACTTCAGCTCCGAGTGTTGATATGCAAATTAAAGTAAAGTAGCACAGGTCAGCATCTACAATGTTATCTACAATGACATGGGAAATGCTGCGTGGCCCACAATTGCATAACTGAGTCACCAGGGAAGCTTAGCTTCAATAATGAGTGAGCCGGAGTACTATATTTTACCAGCAGTATTGTGCTATGAGAATTTTCAGTTGTATCACAGGGAGCCCAGGAACTATGATCAACTGTACGCACTCCCTATGAGCGGGGGGGGGGGGGTATCGGCTGGTATCTCGTGTAAGAAATAGACAAGGGATGAAGGCTCCAGCCAGCTCACATTTTTTAAACTCGAAAAAACAGACGAAAAGAATAAAGAATAGAATCTAAAAAAAATACCAGGTTGAAGAATATTAGTTGCTCCCTCAAATTTCGCCAAAGCCTTACCTACATTTTACAGATATCTGCAGAATAAATCAAGAAAACTACACAAATTGACTCCATTTAGGAATTTAGGAACGGTTTGCCCGAACGCACGGCACAGTTGGAGGCGTACCAACCAGTTGAGCAAGGCTGACCGAGTCGTGACTTCGA